GATATAGCCTGGACTTGGCAGTAGGACCAAAGGGAAGATTGAGAACTCAAGCCCCTGTAATCTCCATCAATCACCTCAAATGAACATAAGCAGTCTAAGTGACCAAAAGTGCTTGGTAGGCAAAAGCAACTTCAAAACAAGATTGCTCATAATGAGATACCACTTCACACCCACTAGGATGGCTACCATCAAAGAGACAGATAATAACAAGCGTTGGTGAGGATGTGGAAAACTGGAGCCCGCAGACATTGCTGATGGGAATGTAAAATGGTGCAACCACGATGGGAAACAGTCTGGCAGTTCTTCATAAAGTTAAACACAGAGTTACCACATGACCCAGCAATTTTACTCCTGGGTATATACTCCGAGAGGAATGAAAACATAAAGCTACACAGCAACTTGTTTGAGAGTGTTCACAGCAGCATTATTCATGATGGCCAAAGGCAGAAACAAGCCAAACATCCATCAAATGATGAATGGATGAGCAAAATGTCGTGTATCCACACAATGGAAATTATTCAACAGTCAAAAGGAATGAAGCGCTGAAACAGGCCACCAAAACATTAGGACACCCTATGAAAACATTAGGCTGAGTGGAAGCTAATTAAAAGACCACATTTCATAAGATTCCATTTATACAAAAAGTCTAGAATAGGCAAATCTATAGATACAGAAAGGAGATTAGAGGTTGCCTAGGGCTTGGTGTGATGAAGAGAGTTGGCAGAATGATAGCTAAAGGGTATAGTTTTTCTTTCGGGAGTGATAAAATATATTCTAAAATTGGCTGTGGTGATGGTTACATAACACTAAAATCCATTGAACTGTTACACTCTAAGTGGGTAAATTGTATACAGGACTTATATATCAGTAAAGCTATTAACAAAAAAAAATAACCTCAAAACTAAGATTGCTGCCTTTAATTACCTTCTTTTTTCTTTTTTTAAAGATCTTTTTTTCTGATGTGGATCATTTTTAAAGTCTTTATTGAATTTGTTATAATATTGCTTTTGTTGTTTATGTTATGGTTTTTTGGCCATGAGATATGTGGGAGCTTAGCTCTTCAACCAGGGATCAAACCCACACCCTCTGCATTGGAAGGAAAAGCCTTAACCACTGGACCGCGAAAGAAGTCCCCTTAATTGTTGTTGAGTTGCTAAATTGTGTCCAACCCTTTTGTGACTCCAGGGACAGTAGCTCTCCAGTCTCCTCTGTCCATGGGATTTCCCAGGCAAGAATACTGGAGTGGATTGTACTTCCTTCTCCAGGGGATCTTAATTACCTTCTATTAAAAAGAAATTCTATCCATATCACTCTTTTCACTGTAGCCACACTGGAGAAGACAGGTCAAGAGCTCTAAAAGGGTGGTTTTCCTCAAAAGCACAGGGCTCAAACAAGGGTAACCAACTAGTCTGGTTTGCCTGAGATAGTCCAGTGTTAGCACAGAAACTCTGGTGTCCCAAACATAGATGGTTGACGACCCTAATACCCACTCTTTCCCAGAGCACAGGAATGTTATGCCCTTCCATGCAGCCAATGGCTAGAACCAAGTCTCCATATAAATAATCCTTCCCCATTTGGGGTGTAAGTCATCCTTAGTCAATGACCCTTTTGACCTTCTAATGGTCAGAAGGTTTTTGTTTTTTTTTTTTTTAATTATTGTTGCTCCTAATTTACAGATGAAGAAACCGAGGTTCAGTGAGGAAATAACTAGCCAGAATCACACAGGAGCCAGAAATTGAACCTGGATTTTTCCAAAACCCAATTCACCCCTTCCACTCATCATCTTGTTTCTTACCTTACCACTGGGTTGAGTGTCCAGGAACACTATGAGATTGTTCTTGGCTCCTGGGGAAGGTAGTCAGACATCCAGAGAGAAAAAGCATGAGCTTTCAGCTACAGGAAGACAGGAGACAGCACAGACTCTGGAGCTAAAACGCTCAAGTCTGGGCTTTGCCAAAATTTTAGTTGTATGAACTTGGACAAGTTAACTTGACTTCTCTGTGTCTCAGCTCCCCCTTATGTAAAATGATAAAAATTATAGTACTCTGTGTGTGTGGGTGTGTATATCACATTGGATTGCTATAGAAAGTAAATAAATCAATAAGTGTGAAATGATTAGAATGGAGCGTGGCACATGTATTAAGTCAATCCATTTAATACATTTATTTAATAATACAAATGTACATTTATTAAATAAATTGGTGTCATTAAGTAAATGAAAGCAAGCACAGATCCACATACCCAATACTGGAAAGATATCAGACTAGGTTTAACAAAAACCAGAATGTGAGACCAAATCATGCAAGTAAACTCTTAACATTCGTTCTGCTGCTTCCCATGTAAATGTTCCTGGCTGAGAAACTGCTAGAAACTCTTCGGGCCGTAAACACACCTTTAGCCTCAACATGGCGGTGGCAGTGTGGGCAGTCCTGGCAAAATGGGATGGTCTGACGCCAGGTTGCAGGCCCTGCCTGGCACTGACTAAGCCCAGGATTCCCCTCACCGCATGCTGGCCCACAAGGGCATGGAGAACTGTTAGGTAGCTCCTTCCACGGGGGCAAGTGGGTGTGTGATCAACATCATTTTTTGATCAGCATCAGCTTCAGCTGAAGTTCAAGAGGCTCAGAGAAGCTCAAGAATTTGTTCAAGGTAAGTTAACAAGGAGAGTTCGGAGTCAACCTTAGGTTAAATTCTAAGGTTCCTATGCTTTTCTGCCTCCATGGAATAGTTGTTATTGCTATGTAACAAATTACCTCAAAGCTTAGCAGCTTAAAACCACAAACACTCATAAGGCCTGAGATCCAGGAGTGGTTTAGCTAGGCAGTTCTGGTTCAGAATCTCTTGTGAGGTTGTAGTCAAAGTGATGCCATGGCCACCGTCATCTCAATGCTCTACCGGGGCTTAGAATCTGCTTCCAAGCTCGGTCATGAGGCTGTTGGCAGGCTTTTTAGTTTCCGGCTGGCTATTGGTCAGAGGCTTCAGTTTTTCATCACACGAATCTCTCCAGAGAACTTTTCATATCATGACAGGTTGTTTTCCTGGAAGCAAGAGATTCAGGAAAAAGAAATCAAACAAGGAAAAAAAAAAAAGTACTGAGAAGCTGTCTAGTTTATAACTAATCTTAGTTTAAACTAATCTTAGATGTGACATACCTCCACTTCTGGCACCTGCTGTTGGTCACACAGACTAATTGAGGCACCATGTGGGAGGGGACTTCACAACGGTGTGAATACCAGGGAGCAGGGGTCATTGAGAGCCAGCTTGGAGGCTGGTGACCATTCTGCCCATCTTCCCAAAGTAAGACAGAAAGCACAGACCTGCAAATAATAAGGTAATATCCTGAAGAAAAGTCTGAGAAAGTAATTTTTTAAATTAATTAATTAATTTTAATTGGAGGCTAATTACTTTACCATATTGTGTTGGTTTTTGCCATACATTAACATGAATCAGCCAGGGGTGTCCGAGGGGTTGTTAACAAACATTTAGTTCACTCAAAGCAGTGGGTGGCCCTATGGATACAGGCAGAAGTAAACCTAGAGTTTACAGGGACTAATTGGCAGAAAAGAAAAATCAAGCCACGTGGTCCTGGGAGAAAAGACAAGGGAGAAGCCAGGAAAGAGAGCTGGAATCAGGACTCCAGGACAAGGTGGACAATCTTCTAGTCCAGATAGAGGTTCATTTTCAACAGCCTATGTCTGTTGTCCTGGGTTTGGACAACACCCCCACAGAAAATGGGAGACCAAAAGGAAAAGGCGGGAGAAATAGAAGGCAGAAAAACTAATGACCAATTTCTGGATTCACAGTTAAACATTCTTTCTCTGGCTTAAATTCATCAGAACCTGTTTCGAGCCAAATTTCATGAAGGAGCTGGGGATGGAAAAAGAAAGAGACAACTAGATAGGAAAGATGCACAAGGGAACTGTCAGAGGTTGGGGGATGGAGGGCAGAGGCGGTAGGTGGTTCCTTCAAAACCAAGTTCCAGGACTTTACAATTTAAATCTGTTCCAAGGTGGGATCTAATCACTGGGCAAATCAAGAGTCCTGTACTATCCACTCAAAACCATCCTTACATTTGTTACAATTATTTTGTTGAATCAATGAATTAAATCATTTCCATGAACCATCCCTCCCATCCCCGCTATAGGTGTCATAGGAACCTAGTTAGGTAATATTTTTCACTGGAGTCCCTTTCTACTCCTTCGCCCTAAAACTTCCCCACCCGCTTATCAGAATGGATCTCCTCCAGGACTAGAGAAAGTCATCAACACCTCATTTGGATAAGGTTAATAATACCAGCTCCTACCTACCCCAGGGACAGAAAGGAAATTGAACACGTGGAAGCAATCTTCGAGACAGGTGGGGTGGGGGTGGGGGGTACATTTCAAGAATTTGTAATGACGTGCACAGCCATATTTTAATTCCGAGCGGCCAGGTACGACGATCACCCCAGAAGAGCTACATTTCCAAGGCGCTCCTCAAGCCTGCAGATGCAGTTCCCCAATCACCCAGTCCACCCACACGAGCCAAGAAAATCAATTTTCCCCAGACCTGGCGAGTAGACAAAGTGGCTCAGTCGTGTCCGACTCTTTGCGACCCCATGGACTGTAGTCTATCGGGCTCCTCTGTCCATTGGATTTTCCAGGCAAGAGTACTGCAGTGGGTTGCCATTTCCTGCTCTAGGGATCTTCCCGACCCAGGGATCGAACCCAGATCTCCCCCATTGTAGGCGGACGCTTTTACCGCCTGAGCCACCAGGGAAGCCAATTTCCTGCCTCGAAAAGCATCCAGCGCCTGCGTCCTGCAAATCCCACGGTCCTCGAGTCCCCGGGCTTGAGCAGCCCCGCCTTCGCGCCCTGCTAGGCGCCTCCCCATCCCCTAGCTCCGCAACTCAGGCCGCTCCCGCCACCCTGAAGAACTACAGCCCCCGGCATGCCCCGCGCTGCCATCGGAGCCACGTGACCGCGCTTCTACGCCTACCTCGGTCACGTGACTCGGGGAAGATGGCCGCGCTGACGGCGGAGAACTTTGCAGCTCTCCAAAGCCTGCTGAAGGTAAATGGGAGGGCTGGGAGCAGCGCAAGACGGGCCTTTGTCTCCGAGACTTTGGACAGAGCAGGAGTTGAGAATAATCCAACCCTGATTTGGAGCCACGACTCTGCCACTGCCTCTTACTGTGACCTCTGGCAGGGGGTTGCGCCTTTCCGAGCTTTTTGATAGTAGGAACAAAATTAATATCGTTTTGACAGCATAGTGGGGAAACAAGACAATGGACTGACTTGAAGGTGCCGTACGAAGGTGCCCTACTAAAAGTCTCTGGGGCTGGCTTTTGGGATTGGCGCATTGGGGTAGTAATCGCTAGATCCGCCTTACCAGTTCCCCATGCACTTTAATTTTGAGATCTTGATTTACAGGCACTTGCGGGGGGGGGGGCGGGGAACCTATACAGAGAGATCCTATTTGCCCATTCCCCAGTTTCCCCCAGTGGTAGCATTTTGCAAAGCTCTAGTATGATACCACGACGAGGATATTGACACTGACGGTCAAGATGCAGAACATTTCCATCACCATAGGGTTTTCCATGTTCCCCTTGTAGAGCTACACCCACTTGCCCTCAGCCTTCACTCCCTCCCTAAACTCTGGCATTCACTAATTTGTTCTTCATTTCTATAATTTTCTCATTTCAAGAATGTTCTATAAATGAAATAATACAATATACAACCTTTGGGGACTGGCTTTTTTCACTGAGCCCAGTTTTCTGGAGAATCATCCATGGTGTATGTATCAATAGTTCTTTCTTTTTAGTTCCTTAGTAGTTTTCCATGGTATGACATCTGCAGGGTTTTTTTGCTGTTACAAATAAAGCTGCTGTAAACACTTGTATACAGTTTTTTTGTATGAGCCTAAGTCTTAGTTCTCTGAAATGAATGCCTCGGAGCACATTTCTGGATCTTTTAATAGTTGGCATGTTTTGGGGGTTTTGTTTTGTTTTTATGAAACTCCAAAAATCTCCAGAATGGCTATACCACTTTACATTTGCAACAGCAATGCATGAATGATCCAGTTTCTCCCCATCCTCACCACATTTATTGGCATCACTATATTTTATCTGAGCTATTCTAATACGTGTGTATGTCTGTCTCATTGTGGCTTGAATTTGAATTTGAATTTCTCTAATGGTTAATGATTTTGGACTTCTTTTCATGTGCTTACCATCTGTATCTCTTCAGAGAAATATCTGTTTATGTCTTTTGTTCATACTCTAATTGCATTGTTTGCTTTTTACTTTGAGTTTCTTAAGAGAGTGTAGTCCTTTGTTATATCTGTGGTTTGCACATATTCTTTCCTAGTGTATAGCTACAGAGAATTGGTGGCTCACCCAGGAGAAATGTATTGTCTTCCAGTTCTGGAGGCCAGAAGTATGAGATCAAGGTCTCAGTCAAAATGGTTCCTTCTGAGTGCTTTGAGGGATAGTTTGTTCCATGCTTCTCACCTACTGTCTGTTGGTTTCTGATAATATTTCATGTATGTAGTGTCTGCATTCACTTTCACATGGCGTTCTCCCTGTTGGCATCTGTTTCTAAATTACCCTTTTAATTATGGCAGCAGTCATACTGGATTAGAGGTCACCCTGTGCTCCTTGGGGCTTCCCCGGTGGCTCAGATGGTAAAGAATCTACCTGCAAAGCAGGAGACCTGGGTTCCATCCCTGGGTTGGGAAGATCCCCTGGAGGAGGACATGGCAACCCACTCCAGTATTCTTGCCTGGAGAATCCCATGGACAGAGGAGCCTGGTGGCCTACTGTCCATATGATCACACAGAGTAGTACACGACTGAAGCAACTTACCAACTCAGCTAACCCTGAGTCTTCACTAGACAGGTCTTCACTTGTCTTCACTAGTTACATTTACAGTATGCATGCATGCATGCAATCCTATTTCCAAATGAGATTACATTTTGAGATCCTGGGAGTTATGACTTCAATAAGTGAATTTTAGAGGACACAGTTTAGCTTGTAACAGGAGTTTTTGCAGAACAAAGGTTTTAATTTTGATGAAGTTCAGTTTTTCAAAAAGAAATTTCCTTACGTGAACTGTGGGTTTTTTTTTTTTTAAGAATTGTACTTTTGGTATAAATTCTCAGAACTCTTTGTGAAGCCGTAGCTCTCAAAATTTTCCCTATTTTTTGCTTATAGTTTTATATTTTCCATTTATATATCTTTTAACATTTAAGCCCGTGACCAGTTTTGCTTTAATTTTGTATAAGGTGTGTGAGATACTTTGAGGTTCCCCCCCCCCCGACCTTTGGCCTATGAATATCCAGTCATTCAAGTACCATTTGTTGAAAAGTCTTATTTTCTCTGTTGAATTGCTTTTGCAGTTTTGTCAAGAATCAGTCAGGCATATTTGCATAGGTCTACTTCAGAGGTCTTTGGTTTGTTTCATTGATCTATTTGTTTATCCCTCTGAAAATACCATATATTCTTGATTATCATAACTATATAATAAGTTTTAAAATCAGGCAGATGGATTCCTCCTATTTCATTCTTTATCAAAATTACTTTAGGTATTCTAATTCTTTTGCCTTTCTGTATAAATCTATAGAATGATCTTGGATGTATTTTAAAAAAAGAAAATTTGCTGAGATTTTCATAGGAATTGGGTTAAATTTGTTTGTCATTTAGGAGCAAATTGACATCATCTTAATGTGTTGGATCTTCCAATCCATGATCACGATGGGTCTCCCCATTGATTGAGATCTTTGATTTTTTTATCTGTGCTGTGTAATTTTCAGCATACAAGTCCTGTACATGCTTTGTTAGATTGATTCCTAAGTATTTCTTCTGTTGTTTTTTTTGAGCAGTTGCAAATGATATTATACTTTTAATTCTAGTGTCCACATGTTCATTGCTAGTGTGTAGAAATACACCTGATTTTTGTATGTCTCTTGGATTTGCAAACTGCTGACCTCATTTATTCTAATAATTTTTTGTACATTTCCTTGGGCTTTCTCATAGACTGTCATGCTGTCTGCAGATAGGGACAGTTTTATTTCTTCCTTTCTGATCTGCAGACCTTTTCTTTCTTCGCCTTGCCTTTTTTTAGTGGCTAGAATTTTCAGCACTATGTGGAGTAACAGTAGTGAGAGGAGACAGCTTTGTTCTTGTTCCCAACTTTAGTCTTTCATCGTTAAGTATGCTGTCTCTAGGTTTTTTGGCAGATGCTCTAAATCAAGTTATAGAAGTTCCCCTTTATTCCTAATTTTATGAGAGTTTTCATCAAGAATGGATGTTTAATTTTATCTACTGCGCTCTCTACATTGACTGATATCCTGTGATTTTCTTCTTTAGCCTGTTAATATGGTAGACTACATAGATTTTCAAATACTGAACTGACCTAGCTAGCATCCCTGGAGTAAATTCGACCTGGTTATAGTGAATAATGCTTTTTATATATTGCTAAATTCTTATTTGCTAGTATTTTGTTAAGGATCTTTGCATCTCTTTTTATGAGGGATATTGGTCTATTGTTTGGTTAGTTTTACTTATATTCTCTGTCTGATTTTGGTATCAGAGTAATGCTACCTTTGTCAGATGAATTGGGAAATATTTCCTCCTTTTCTGTTTTCTAGGAAAAGATTATGTAGAATTAGTTAATTCTTTCTTTAAATGTTTGTTAGAATTCTCCAGTGAAACCATCTGGGTCTGGCAATTTCTTTTCTAGGGGTTTTTAAATTACAAATTCAGTTGCCTTAATAGTTATAGGACTGTTCAAGTTTTCAATTTTATTTTGGGAGAGTTGTGGTAGTTTGTGTTTTTTTGAGAAATTGATCCATTTCATTTAAACTGTCAAATTTATATGTGTATAGTTGTTTGTATATAGTTATTCTCTTATTTTCTTTTTGAAATCTGCGGGGTCTATAGTGATATTCCCTACTGCCTTCCTGATAATGGTAATTAGTGTTTCCTTTCTTTTTAACTTTGTCAGTTTTGCTAAAAGTTTGTTAATTTTTTAAAATTTATTTAATTTAGTTAATTAATTTTTTAAAGTTTGATATTTTCAAAGAACCAGTTTTTTGTTGCATCGATTCCTCTTTTTTCCTGTTTTCATTTTTTTTGGTGTCTGCTCTTTGTTATTTCCTTCCTTCTTCCTTTAGGTTTATTATGCTCATGTTTTTCTAGGTCCTTAAGATGAGAACTTGGGTTATTTTTTTGAGATTTTTTTCTCTTTTCTAATGTATGCATTCAGTGCTGTAAATTTCTCTGAAATAAGTTATTTCATGTATTTTAAAATTTTCCCTTGAGACTGTCCATCTAGTCTGTGTATTATTGTTTCCAAATGTTTGAACACATTTCTTTGATCTTTCTTATTGATTTCTAGTTTGATTCTATTGTGTTCGCTGACAGCACTCTCTGTATGATTTCTGTTCTTTTGAATTCATTTGGTTTGTTTTTTTGGTTCAGAATATCATCTATCTTGGTATATGTTCAGTGAGCTTTTGAAAAGAGTGTGTATTCTGTTGTTACTGGGTGGTGTTCCATAAATGTCAATTAGGTTGATTGATGGTGTTGTAGAGTTCTTCTGTATCCTTGTTGAATCTGGTGTAGTTGTTGTATCAATTGTTGAAAGAGGGGTGTTAAAGAGTCCAGCTGTATATATGGATTTGTCGGTTTCTCCTTTCACTTCTTTTTGCTTCCCATATTTAGTAGCTCTCTTACTGAGTGCTTACATTCAGAATGTCTTCTTGGTGGACAGAAATTTTTATCATTATTTAATGTCCCTCTCTGTCTCTGGTAATTTTCTCTGCTGTGAAGTCTACTTTATCTGATGGTCATGTAGCCACTCTTGCTTTCCTGATTACATGATCTCTTTTTCCATTCTTTTACTTTTAATCTGTTTCTGTCTTTATATTTGAAGGGAGTTTCTTGTAGACAGCATTTAACTGATCATATTTCTTAATCTAGCAGCCCCCAGCCTTTTTGGGACCAGGGACCATTTTTGTGGAAGACAGTTTTTCCACAGACTGGGTTGGGGGCCGTGGTTTTGGTATGATTCAAGTACAATACATTTATTGTGCACTTTATTTCTGTTATTATTATATCACCTCCACCTCAGATCATCCTGGAGGTTGGGGACCCCTGTTTTAATCCACTTAGCCTTTATTTTTTGTTTCTTTAATTTTACTGCCTTTCTGTGGGTTATTTGACCAGTTGACCATTAGGAAGAATTCCATTTTGATTTATTTATAGTGCTTTAAAATGTAATTCTCTTTATAACTCTTATAGTGGTTGTTCAACTTATTACATTTATTTACATAACATCACAATCTCCGTGGCAATAGCAGTATCATCATTTTACCAGGTAGAGTGAAGTAGTCCCTTATTTATGATATAGTTATCTTAAATACTTCCTCTGCATACATTTAGAGCCACATTGGAGAGTGGCCTTTCTTTTTGCTCATATATCCCAGACTGAGTTGAAGAAGAGGGCCACCCAGATGCCCAGTGGGTGAAAACAAAGAAACTCCAGCAAATACTTGCTTTCTCTTATCGAAGACCAAGAAAGGGATCGCTTAGGAAGACAGAAAACTGTTAGACAATAACTGTTTTACTCCACCAAAACACCACAGAAAAAACTGTGGCTTCCCTGCTTCCTGCTATGTCAGCAAAGGCTGAGGGGGAACACAGACTGCAAGCTTGTGAGGCTGTGACAAGATGTTTCAGCGCCCCCTCTGTTGGTGTCTAGGGAGCTGACTTCCATCCCCACCAGCTGGTTCCACCACCCCATGGTATGGGTGGAAACTACATGGAGCCAGAACTTCCGCCTCTGCGCAGTAGCAGTAAGGAACCCCACGTTAGAGTGTCAACCCAACTAGGGGTGCTGGGCTTTTCTCCCGTTGTTAGTCATGAAGCCGCATCCCCCCCACCACACACACACTCCCCGTGCTGTCTGAGCGGCGAAAGAGGAAGCCAGCTAAAATAGAAGGCTTAAACAAGATCCACAGTCTCAAGACAGAATATGACCACGTCATTCCTTGGTCATGAGGTCCCTAGAAGGTCTGTCTTCTCCTCTCCCTTTCCAGCGCTGTCTTATATTTCTAGAAAGTGCCTGGGGAGTTTAGCTGTGTTTAGCAGGAAAAATAAGAAAAAGTACATCTGCCTCATCTTCCCAGAAATGGAAGTGTCCTGTGCCCCTCTTAGGCGTTACACCTTGACCGAGACTGTATTAAGTTCTTAGGAAATGTATTTTCACAGTCTGAGTTTGTTTCTTGTTTTGACTTTCCATCTGTGAATTAATTTATAGGCCTCCTCAAAAGATGTTGTCAGACAGCTGTGCCAAGAGAGCTTTTCCAGTTCGGCCCTTGGCTCCAAGAATCTCTCAGATGTTACGTGCTCCAGCTTATCTGTGACCCAGGAGGAGGCAGAACAAGTGAGTGTGGTCAGAAATGACCTCTGGCTGCTGGCTTCTCGGCTCATCAGTCTCTTCGTTGACGTCCCAGCCACTGCCACGTCCAAGGGAATTTTTCCCCTGAATTGTCTGTTGACATTATAGCGACTTAAAATAGATGGTTTTTTTTTTAATGTTAGGGAACTTGGTGGGAACCTACTGTGTATCACCGGGAGCTCAGCCTGTGCTCTGTGGGGGCCTAGAGGCACCCCTGTAGGGTGAGGGGGCGAGAGGGAGACCAGGAGGGACGGGATATATGTGTACTTACAGCTGATACACTTTGGTGGTGGTTTAGTTGCTGAGTCCTGTCTGTCTCCTGTGACCCTATGGACTGTAGCCCTCCAGGCCCCTCTGTCCATGGGATTCTCTAGGCAAGAATACTGGAGTGGGTAGCCATTTCCTTCTCCTGATATACTTTGCTGTGCAGCAGAATCTAACACAGTATTGTAAAGCAACTATGCCCCCCGCCTCCCCAGAAAAGCTGTTGTCATTGAACCATCACATTATTGTTATAAATGAGGCATGGATGGGAAGACTATACCCAGAATCAGGGCTCTTGACCATTTCCTTTTCAGATTTGTTACTTAGGCAGTATGCACGAAAGCCACACTTGTGCTTTTCTGAGCTGAGCAACCTCTCGTGGTGTCTGAGAAAGCCCTAAAGCAGAGAAAATTGCCTCCAGAGCATCTTGTTAGGTTCAGCTAAGCGGTGATTCTCACAAGACGAGGCCAGGCCACACTTGGCTATACATTCACTTGGAACAACACGGGGTGGAATGTGGGCGTCCTAGCAGGGCAGCACCAGGCTCTCCTTCCACAGGGGGCTCTGCACAGCCAGCCTGGAGCTCTTTGCTCTCCTTGCCCTCCCTGGTGACAGCTGGGGGTAAGGAGGTGCATTCCAGCCCCTGTGGATGAAAAGCCCAAACTGCCCTGGAGCCAGAGCCAGTGCAGTAAGCACAGCTTCAGCACTGGCAGGGACTGTGCGGCCACACTCAGGGAAGCCCGAGCCGTGGGCCCTGGTGTCTCCGCAGGCCTCCCAGGCCAGCGTCTGGGGACCAGTGCAGCATGCTGACTTGTCGCTTCTCTCCCGTTACCAGGGGAACAGGCTAGAAAGTTAGCTTAAGGTCAGGGTCCGTGCACCAGGAAAAAAACGGGCTTCGTTAACCATTTGCCCACCGGCAGAGAGACTTTCTGGCAGGTTGATAGCATCCTTGGTCGGGCAGCTGCATGTCTTCTAAGCAGCAGGTGAACTTGGAGGCGGGCCGAGGCACGTGGGCATCAGCAGCCGGCCCCCCGGGGCCTCTGGACTCCTGAGACCCAGCATGAATGACGGAGGCGGGCGGCAGGCCCTCTTCCCAGCAGCGGATGGCGCCCTGCCCCCGTCCCAGTGCCCCTCACCGCCCAGGCTCCCCATCTGCCCCGCAGCTGCTCCAAGCCCTGCACCGTCTCACCAGGCTGGCCGTATTCCGCGACCTCTCCTCCGCTGAGGCGATTCTGGCACTCTTTCCTGAAAATTTCCACCAGAACCTCAAAAACCTGCTGACAAAAATCATCCTGGAACACGTGTAAGTGCTCATTTCTTATAAATCTGGTATTTTTAAATTTCTCTTCTAGATAAAATGTGCTCATTCTTGAAAGGCAGGCACAGGTAAGCAAAAAAGAAGAAAACCATTAATTCCACCACCCAGAGGGTTAGCAGTGTTCATTCCTTAACAGAAAACCTTTTTCGAGGGATGTACTTTTTCCATTTACACAGAGAGAGATGGATTTTTGTTTTGCTTTTGTGTTTAACACAGTGGGGTCGTGCCTTTTTATAACTTGCTTATTTTCAGTTCACAGTATTAATGTGAATGATATTCCAGGGTGATAAATATTTATCTTCAGCATTATTTTTAATGGCTAACTGTATTTCATTATATGAAGAAATTATGTATAATTTAGTTAATAGATACCTTAGTGTTAGACATTTAGGCTGTTGGCAGTTTTCACTTCAGTGAACAATTTATTGGGGACCCTTTGCCCACATTGTGCTTAACTATTTCCTTGCTGGTAGATGGTGATATTGGAGCTTGTCTTTTTGTTATCAAGTCAGCCATTGGGAAGATTGCACCAATTATTTCTCCATCAGTAGGACATGGGTGTACCACTCTGGCCACACCATCACCTGCACTGGGGGAATTTTTTTTTTTTTTTACTTCCAAGTTTTACAAATGGCAAATGGTACCTCATTTCAATTTGCATATCTCTGGTATTGGGTTTCCCAGGTGGCACTGGTGGTAAAGAACACATCTGCCAATTCAGGAAGCATAAGAGACCCGAGTTCGATCCCTGGGTCAGGAAGATCCCCTGGAGGAGGGCATGGCAACCCACTTTAGCATTCTTGCCTGGAGAATCCAATGGGCAGAGGAGCTTGGCGAGTTACAGTCCAAAGGGTGGCAAAGAGTTGGGCGTGACTGAAGTGCCTTAGCATGCTTGCATGAATCTTTGGTACTAGTGATGTCAAATATCTTTTTCATGTTATTGGTCATTTTTATTTCTTCTGTGAATTATCTATACATTTTCTAGCTTGGAAAATCCTTTTCAGTACATACAATTTAAGCAGAACTGATTAACCGCTGGTTAGCAGCAGGCTTGAACAGACCTCTGTGATAATCACAATAGATAACGCTTACTTACCAAGGGTTTTGTTGCTTATTTAGAAACCTCATGGGTAACCACATTTTACTGTGACTCTGCACCTCACTGCAGCATGATTGGCTGTAGCATTAGGTCTGTTTGGGTGTGTTTTATGTAAGGTGCCAACATTGTGTAGTAGATGCCTAGTAACAAAGGATAAGTTGACCTTCTCTGTTTTGTCTCTGAGAACAGTAGTACAGTGTGATTACAGTGCTTTCAGCCTTCTCTTGTTTTTCCTAAACCGTGAAAACCGAGTACCCATGGCCTCTACATCACTCGATTCTGTAAAACAAACAGCTGCTCCTTGGGGGGGGCGCATTTCTCTCGTCCTCTCCTGTCAGGAGGGGATTGTAGGTTTGAAGATCACAGAAGGAGCGGAGGCCCAGACTCACGGGCCTCATTATCGGAAGACTCAGTTGTCATCCCTTTTCCATTCTGTTTTCCTCATCTTTCCCCAAACAGATCTACCTGGAGAGCTGAAGCCCAAGCGAATCAGAGTGAGTACCAAGGAGCCTGCCTCTTCCCCTACCCCTTTCCTCCACAGCCCCAGCCCTAAATCTGCTGGAGTTCTTAACTGAAACCAAAGTGAACTGACCCAATCCCAAACCCAACAGTCTTTGTTCTGCATTCCTTTTTAATTCTACTTTTTAATATTGTTTCCGATTATAAACTTAATAGAGGCATGTTGTTAAAAAAAAAACAAGAAAACCCAGTGTTCAAAGCAGAAAGTACTTAAGATGACTGTGTTTCCATTAGAAAACAAATTAACCATAATTGAAATTATTGTGAAAGAGTGAGTAAAACTGGGTGCTTGATAAATGGTCACTAAACTCGGTCATAGTGCTACAGAACTCGGCCTGCATTAGCTCATTTAGTCCTCCCAGCAAGCCTGTAAACGGGGTGGGGCTCATCCCCATTTTACAGATGAGCAAACAGAGGCCCAGTGATTAAACAGGAATATTGAAGCCAAAGCCTGTGCGTCTCTCAAAAAAAAGCTCTTCCTGCTGTTGGCAAAGCTGCACATTTCCTGAAACTCAGGCCACGGCCTCATCTCCTCCCCATGTCACTCATTCCTCATTCTCTCCTGACATCTGGAGGGCTGGGTGTTCAGGCTGAAGCCTGGAGGTGCTGTCCGCCAGGAGTCCACACTATAATAAGCTCAGGGCCACGAGCAGTGGTCAGGAAGGCCCAGGGCTTGCTGTGGGCTCTTGGGCCGCATCTCTCCATCCCCCTCAGAGGCTTGCTGTGTGGACTAAGGGCCTTACACGTGTGCAGCTCCTAGAGCTGCCCATCGTAAAGGCTCGGTCACTTGCTGGTGCGAGGGCTGAGCTGAGCTGTATCCCTGCAGTCTCTCTGCCGCGCCTGGTGGACCTGGACTGGAGGGTGGACATCAAAACCTCCTCAGACAGCATCAGCCGCATGGCCGTCCCCACCTGTCTGCTCCAGATGAAGGTATGGCCACCGTCATGCTCACTGGAAGGCCGGGGGGCGGCGGCACGAGGGTCTTGGTGTCCCACAGCCCAGCGGAAATGCCAGTCTCCAAAACCATAGGATCTCTGTGTGTTTAGTCGCTCAGTCGTGTCCGACTCTGCGGCCCTTTGGACAGTAGCCTGCCAGGCTCGTTTGTCCGTGGAGTTTTACCAGGCAAGAATACTGAAGTGGGTAGCCATTCCCTTCTCCAGGGGATCTTCCTGACCCAGGGATCAAACTTGCGTCTCCTGTGTCTCCTGCATTGTAGGCAGTTCTTTACCTGCTCAGCCATCAGGGAAGCCCCTAACCCCATAAATTAAAAAACTGCAGCACCCCTAAAGAGCAGAGTATTTATTTAGAAAGTATATGTGAATTAGCTTAGTACAGTCATAATAAAACCTATACCAAAAGTAGAAATACTTTTAAAAATAAAACAGACATGAAATACAAATTTTAAAAATAATTTGCCGATACCTAAAGGTTACCTTTGACACTTACAGGAAGGTTTGGCTTTAACAATAGGAGCACGCACTCAAATTTCAAATTGTCTTCTTGATAAGCTTGGTATACTTTATTGATTTCTTGTCTAAACTAAGGGGGCTGTCGCTCTTTATACCATGCTGAACAGGGGCTCCTATTAGAAGTTGGAGAAGTGTCAGTTCTTCATTTTACTGTTTATATGCTGTTGCCTCATTGGTGGTGTCTTCACAGTTATTTTCAGGAATCTTTTTAAGTCACATACCTGTTTTTAGGATTTGTTTAGGTAAAGCCTGGGCTTCCCTGGTGGCTCAGATGATAAAGAATCTGCTTGCAATGCAGAAGACCCGGTTCGATCACTGGGTTGAGAAGATCCCCTGGAGAAGGAACTGGCAACCCGCTCTAGTATTTTTGCCTGGAAAATCCCATGGACAGAGGAGCCATGGACTACAGTCCATGGGGTCACAAAAAGTTGGACATGACTGAGCGACTAACAGTTTGAGGTTTTTTTTTTTCCTTTTTCAGTTTTTGGTTAAAACTAGATAAGGTGATGCTGTATTAGTTAACCACCAGACAGCCAGAAACTCAACACCAGTGAGAAAATGAAAACAAAGGGTGCCTCTAACAACTTAAGTTTTTAACTCTTAGTGTAAGACTTACTTAAAAAGATACAACTTTAAAAAAAGATGCAAACACATATAACTGGAGGTTGTAATATTTTTCCTGCATCCTGGAGGATTCTTCCATACCTGTAGAGCCCCGGCCTGAAGTGCCAGCGTGAACCCAGGCAGTGTTTCTCACTCGAGTGCTGAGTCAGGGGTGGGAGGGTAAGGGAGCCTGGGCTGCTCCGATTCCTGTTGGGAGCCCCTGAGACGGCTCCCGCCCTGTCCCCATTTGCTGGGTGACCCCAGGACAAGGCCTCGTGGCTCTGACACCAGAGTCACAGGTACACCTGTGACACCCTCGTGACACCAGAACCAGGTAAGGCCTGCGGGTTGAAGCGAGGAGGCCTTGACTCTGGGGAAATGTTCTCTTCTCAGATCCGGGAAGATCCCAGTCTGTGTGGGGACAGGCCCTCCGTGTCAGCCGTCACCGTGGAGCTGAGTAAGGAGACGCTGGACACGATGCTAGACGGGCTGGGCCGCATCCGGGACCAGCTGTCCGCCGTGGCCAGCAAGTGAGGCGGCCAGAGGGCCCCGGCGCCCTGCCCGCCGCCCCCAGCACATGGCGGCCCCCACAGTGCCCACCGCAGGGGTCGGGGCTGGCACGAAATGGGGCTGGCATCCAGAAGGCACAGCTGGGTCGGGAGGAAACAGCCGGGCCCCCACGCTCTTCTCCTCACTTGTCTTCCTTTTCCTCTTTCTGAAGTTGGTGGGCAGAAGCCACTGTCCCCACAAGGCTCCTGGGGGGACTTCGTGGCCTCTGTGGGGACAGGGAGGGAGCGTTTGCCGGGCCAGCGGCCTCTGCCTGAGAGCGGGCGATTCAGGCCCAGGTTGTGGTGCTCGTCTTAGGCAGGCCCTGTCCAGCTTCACTCTGCAGAGCTCGCTTCTGCTCTGGAGCACGTGCAGGGAGCCAGGCGATGCCAGCAGTTGACCCCACAGACCGACCCCACAGAGCAGAGCCCTGCAGGGTGCCCGTCCTCCTGAGTCCAGAGCTTCCCCGAGCCCTTCACCCCTGCTGGACCACCTTTCAGCGTAGAAAGTGGGAATTCATTCCCTTCTTCATGGAGTCAGTGCCCCTTCCTTGATGCAGTGGGGCCACTCAGGGTGAAGAAGTGGGAGTGATTGGAAATAAACACCAGTTCTAAAAACTTTGTGATCCCAGTGGCTTTTGTGGCTTGTCCTTGGCTTGAGTCGTTGCCTTGGACCAGTGCTTCCTCTCCTTCGTAAAGATGATCCTGACGTCGTCCTTCCCGGCTAATCCCATGACCATGGTGTGACCTGAAACCGGTCCCGTGAACTGGCCCGACTTCCACATAGCCGTCTGTCGCATAGAGCAAAAGCACGGTTGACATCAGCAGGTGCTTCTCACGAGAGCTGTTGATGAATGCACTCCTCGGTGGTCCAGTAGCTAAGACTCCACGCTTCCAGTGCAGGGGGCCTGGGTTCGATCCCTGGTCAGGGAACTAGATCCCATGTGCTGCAACTAAGACCCATTCCAGCCAAGTAAATAATAGTTTAAAAAGTGCTCCTCAAGGAGTTTAACCAGATGGAATTGTCCCTGTCCCATGCCGACACGTCCGAGGGGCTCGGCGTAAGAGGTGCCCCTTCCTTATCCAGATCAGTCAGTAGCAAGAGCCTGCAGTCTGCTCTGCGTGCCTCGTTTTGGCAGCTTCTTGGGTGATGTGTGTGGATGGCGTGCTTGGGAGGGTGGATGGAGGAGGTGGGGCCTCAGGTTAAGAGGATTCGCTTGACCTCAATTCTTGCCCACCCTGAGTTTTCACTTTCATTTTTTTATTTGGAATAATAATTGCATCTGCTTTATAGAACTTTTGTGCAGATTAAGTGGGATAACGTACCTAAAAGGCACTTAGCACTGTTAGGACAACTAAGAAGGGCTAGGTACTGTTAGCTTTGGGATGGAAAGTAGCTCTCTCTGCTCATTGTTTCATCTACTGTAACGGGGTTCGTATGACTGTGAGTGTTACTGTCCTTCCTTTATCGACGACGAAGTCAGCTCATCCAGGTAAAGTCACCTGCTAATAAGTTGCCTCGTCAGATCTTGGGCCCAGGTCTCTCTACCCCACAGGACTCTGCAAGGGACTTGGAGTTCTGTGACTTTAGCTCCATTTGAAAAAATATTGGGAACTGAAGTAGAGATAAGAAATCTTACTTCTGCCCCCGCCAGTGAAACACTAGGGAAGTCAAGAAAAAGAATCCCCAGACTCCTCTCTGCCATCCCCTGGAAGCTGAGCTACCTTCTGTTAAAATGGCAGTTCTTGACCCATTAGGGGCTATATCCATTGAGAATCTAGTGAAAATCCTGAATCCTCTCTGTAGGAAATGAACACTCAATTTTTTTATATTTAAGGATGAGCATTCATGGACCCTGGGGGCCAGCCCACTGTCTCCAGGTTGAGAGCCCCTGGTTTCAGCCTCAGGTAGAGGTCAGCCTTGTGACTTCATCCCCCTCTTTTTTCCTTCCACTCCCTGTGACCCATAGACAGAGACCTCCAAATAATCTGTTTGCTGGGCTTCTGGTGGGGTTCCATAAGAAACTGACTTGAAGCAGGAAGCCCAGCAGAGGTGTCTGGACAACTGGACATTCCTTTAGCCAGATCCACCTGAACAAAACTGGGTGCATGACAATGAGAGCATTCAAGAAATAACATTGAGAGACTTCCCTGGAGGTCCAGTGGCTAAGTCTCTGCGCTTCCAATCCAGGGGATGTGGGTTCGATCCCTGATCAAGGGTCTGAGATCCCACATGCCATGTGGTGCAGGCAAAAATGGTAAGTGTTTGCCCCCCTGAAGTCAGTGGAGCGTGGTTCCTTGAGAATTCAGGCATTTACTGAGGAAGTCAGTTCAGAGACAGGGCTGAGTTAGAACTCCAATCTGGGTCTTCAGCTCAAAGGTCTGTGCTCTTTCTTGCCTTGATTTTGGAAAAAGAAAACCTGGGTTCTTTACAGATAGTGAAACTTTACCCTTAATCTGACGACATTCAGCTTCCTCCCTCAGCAGAGGTCAGTTCTGCTTTCCCATTCCCTGCTTCTGGTGATTATCAGGTTCAAAGACCGTGAGTGACCTGGGGACCAGACGTATGAGTCTTTCCCACACAAGCCAGTTCTCTAAACACACACGGTAGGCGCCATGTCTAACGATCGTTAGTCAAGCTCTGTGCTCTGGTAGTTACAGATTTCCAGGAAATAAGTCTGGCGTGATATAGAGGCTCTTGGTTATTTTGTTCAGTAAACTGAGATGTTACCAGAGATGAGAGAGGGCTTTTACTACATTTTAAAAATATTTTCATCTGGAAACCATTGGCTCCCTGGCATTTTGAAAGTTTTCCAGTGGTTGGACATTTACAAGAACAATTTTGAACCTGTTGCTGCTGACTTTCAAATACTGATCATTCCTAAACATTCTCTCATTTGCGTGATGCTGACTTTGGTACAACTTCCTTCTTTATTGACTGCTCACATTTCTGGGCTTTAATTGTCCTTTTTAGAACTACTTTAAGAAAGAGGAAAAAAAAAGATTTCTTAGTAGTAGTTCCTGGATGGTAGGCTTCCCCGGTGGCCCAACGGTAAAGAATCTGTCTGCAATGCAGGAGGTGGGTATTCAATCCCTGAGCTGGGAAGATCCCCTGGAGAAGGAAATGGCGACCCACTCCAGTATTCTTGCCTGGGAAATGCCACTGACAGAGGAGCCTGATGGGCTACAGTCCATGGGGTCTCAAAGAGTCAGACACGACTGAGCAACTAAACAACAATTTCCTGTCTGGTGTCAGAGGACCCTAATCTCCAAGGAGAGAGAACCACTCTTCATTTGAGGAAATGTCAAGAACTCTTAAAGATAAGTCTGGGAAGTTAAGCTTCTACTTACCCTGAGCTCTTGGTAAAGACTCTGATGGGGTTTTCTGCCTCATCTATAAGTGGAGATAAGTACTTAGGTAAATGCATCTCATAGATTTGTAGTAAACTACAAAGTAGACCCCTTGACTGAAGAGTGGGCCTTTCTTGGCTCTTGTCGTCAATGTTGCACTAACCATGTGACGTCTGGCACATACCACACAGTGAAACAATCCTGTCCCAACAAGTTGAATCATAAATGAATTCAGAGATGCTTTGGGATATCAGAAGACTCTGGGGTCAGTATAAACATACACTGGATTGCAGCTCAAGGGTTGGCCTCTGGTTAGGATTTCAGGAACTCTGATCAAGTTCCCACTTCAGGCAGCAGATGCCCCCCCAGGAAACGTTTATTGGTGTCCCACCTTCTTCCACAGACACACACGATTTGACACCTGTTAGTAAATGATGGTTGAATTATATCACATTGATCAGAATGGCAGACATGTGGCATGAATGTAGATATGAATTTCTTTTCCAAAATCTACCTCCACAGTGCCTGCTTTCACCCCAGATCAGTTCATCCAAGCACCTGCAGAGGGAGCTGTGGTGAAAGTGAAAGTCGCTCAGTCCTCTCGGACTCTGCAACCCCATGGACGATACAGTCCATGGCATTTTCCAGGCCACAATACTGGAGTGGGTTGCCATTCCCTTCTCCGGGGGATCTTCCCAACCCAGGGATCGAACCCAGGTCTCCCACATTGCAGGTGGATTCTTTACCGCCTGAGCCACCGGGAAGCCCGGAGCGGTGGTGGCTGGGCCCTAATTCGCCAGTTGGGACCACTCTCCCCTCTTGCCACCGGGCATTCAGGCCTGGGCCGACCTCAGATCTGTGGGCACGGGGTGGTCGCCGAGCAGTCTCCCAACCACGCTAGTTTCTAGTGTTAGAGGAGGAAGCCGTCAGAGCCCTGGGGGCTGGGAGGAGGGAGTCTGCTGGCCGGGGGTCGGTGGAGGGCGGAACTCGGCTCCCACCACTACGACAGAGGTCAGGGACAGCATTTCCAAGGGAAACGCTGAGCCCATTCCAGCTGCTGGGGTGGGGTGGGGAGGTGCAGAAAAGAAGAGCCTAGCCCTGAGCCTGAGCAGGATGGCCTAGCTGCACCCTCTCTCTGGAAGGCCTTCCTTTATCCTGGCTGAATTCCTATCAATATTTATCCCTCTGGATTCAGGAGCAGCACCCAACAGGAACCTATTAAGTCAGTTTAACTGCCTGTCTTGTCTGCCTGTGTTTCCCCCATCGTTGGCCTTGTCCTGTGCTAAGTCGCTTCAGCCGTGTCCGACTCGTTGTGACTCTATGGACTTTAGCCCGCCAGGCTCCTCTGTCCATGGGGACTCTCCAGGTAAGAACCCTGGAGTGGGACTGCCAGGCCCTCCTCCAGGGGATCTTCCTGACCTAGGGATGGAATCTGCGTCTCTTATGTCTCCTGCAGGCAGATTCTTTACCACTAGTGCCACCTGGGAAGCCCCTCATTGGTCTTACAAACACTGCATTTTAATCATCGACATTTGCCTCTCCCTCCCTTTCTCTCCCGTGGGCCCCCTGCACTGTTCACTGTATCCCCACCACCTCCGTGCACAGGTAATAGGCGCCGGGTTCCTGCCTCCGGCTGAA